TTTTTTAGTGTAAATCAATTTGCAATAACATTTTTGGTCACTCGGAAGTTTTAATATCATAATAATTTTAATCAGTTTATCTTTATTAAATTCTTACTATTAGCACACACTCTCTCTATATCTTGTTCAAATTTTCAATCGTTAATAAAATACTTTTTATCCATCCACTCAAGCTCGAATACATATTTTAAACTTGTAGTGGATGACACATGATGTTAATACAGTTTTTTCACATATTAAAATTTTTCATATGTAAAAAAAATTTAAATTTTGCTTAAAATTTTTACATTTTAAATTAAAAATTGTTTTAATTAATAAAAATTTGTTTTTGTATTTTTAAATTTTCCTTTGTTGACTCAAGTAGGAGTTGACTTAAATTTTTTTATTTAATTAAATTAATTAATTAATTAATTTTTAATCGTTAATAAAATACTTTTTATTCATCCACTCAAGTTCAAATGCTTTCTTTACACTTGTAGTCAATACAGTTTTTTCCCATATTAAAGTTATTTTCCCATATTTGTTGTTTTTTAAATTTTTTGTTTTTGGTATTTTTAAAACTTTTTTTGGTTGACCTAAGTAGGAATTGACATATTTAATATTACTTGTTTTCCCTTATTTTCAAATTTATAAAAATTGTAGTAACTATTGTAATAATAAGTATTTTATGTAGTAACTATTGTATAAGTCCCAGTAAAAGTTTATAAAAATCGAGCCAATGATAGCAATAATAAATTCAAACCTATCAATTATACAAGAGATTCTAGCAGAATACAACTGCCGATTAAATGACTAAGTTTCACTTAGTTTTTCAAATTACCATAAACCTCAAAAAAGATAAAAACCCATTGATAAAACTTCTACTACGTTGGAATACGTTGTTTAACAGCATAAAAAAAAGACTTTGGCATTCTTTCTGTCAGACAAGACGTCGTGTTTTAAATAAATTGCGTTCTATTTCAAGAATCCTGAATTCGAGTAGCTAGTATACGTTGCTCCAGTAGCATACGGAGGTGTGTCTAAAAATACGTAAACATCCTTCGTCCGCTTCAGTCTGAGGAAGTTATCTGTTACATCCAGCAAGCAAACGGGCAGAAGAACTAGGAGTGTAGTATAGAGAAGTATGTCGTTAAATGCCGGTTTCCTAAGAAATGGATGACCGTTATTTTGTGTTAATTAACTTGCATTAATAAAAAATAATAATACGACTTTATCAATCAAAGAACTTACATTGCTCTAAACTGGCTGTGCATTATTTTTGTAAATGTCGTTAACGTTAGTTTTAGTAAAATATTATTTATGGCCTAATGTAATTTATGAATTAACAAAACAAGATTTAGGGGGAATCTAGTTCTTATTAATTTTGCTAATTTTGTATTAAGTTATTAAATTTAAAAATGAAGAAAAATTTAAATGCAGTTTCCAAACAAGCCTACTCGATACATTATTAAAAATAAAAAAATTAAAAAAAGCTGTGGCTGTAAATCTAAGCAAAACTAGAGCGTAGCTTACCGTTAATTTAAATTAATACTCACACATTTCAAAAGATTACAACAAAAATGTTTAGCGTGCCCCTATTAAATCTATTAAGAGATCATTTCTGACAATCCGCACTTAATGAATGGTTATGATGGATTTAGATGTATTGGGTTATCTTCTTTGATTATGCCACAGTAGTCGAGGGCTATCTGCTTAAGGAGAGGGATGCCTTCGCGGAGGACTTTCTAATAGAAACTGGCTCGTATTCACGTTACATATGGGAAAACCACAAATTTTCCAAGCAGTCAGCCCGTTTGTCGGGTTTCGAGCCCCAGATCGAACTAACCTTCAATGACTTTATCGCTCGACCTCTGGTGGACGATTTTCCTTTTGTGCAGACACATACACACTGGGTGTGCATGTGTAGTTTGCACACTCAGTGTGTATGCGTAGTTATTAAATTAATGCTTTGGTTTCAATTTGGGTTAAATTACGTAAATGTAAGAATTACTGAAACTACTTTCTGAAATAATAAGAAAACAAGAAATTGATATCATGGTATGTTTTTAAGTTGGTTTAAGATTTACATGAAATCTAATTTAACTATAATTTGACTACAGTCAGCCCAAGCCCACAAAAATCCTCGTGGCAAGGAATGAAAGTTTACGCCTGCCGTTGGCAACCGCCTTGAGCACCTTACAGGTCACAGTGCCCCCCTCCCAATTTTGATGGATGGAGAGCACGCCGGGGGACGGGTCTGATTGTCTTCCACCCCTCTTTCCCTACCCCCAACCTCTCGAAAGGACTTTCGGCACGCCGCATATTTAAAGTGTCACCATGCCGCACGACCACTATATATTTACAAACATCCATGCTTCCTCCGGGATTCGAACCCGAGCCCTTCGGGACGGCAGTCAGGATGGTCTAATAAAGTAGTTTAACAGTATTTAAATTTCATTTTCCTTTTTCTTTTTTTTTAATCCAAAAGAGGCTGTTGGTCTCTGTCATGTATCTGGCTGCGATGCTGCCTGCCAGAGTCCAGCAAGTGAGAAAGACGAGAGTTGCATGTTAGCCTCAGAGGAGGAAGGTGGTAGATTTCCCTATGTTGTAGGAGCGAGGTACTGCTCCGAGTTTACTATTATTCTTTGAACGTTGATTTTAATAAATGTTTGTTTCGTTTTTTTTAATGGTGCCTTATTGAACCGTGAAGCCGTTACAGTCTCGAAATGGAATTTTGAGTTGGCTTTAAATAGCGAATCATTTTTCAAACTGTTGGCGCCAAATATTTTCACCCTGTGTCATTCTTAAAGAATTTAAACAATGAAGAATCTGCATTTATGTATGCATGTTCTTCGCATTGTGAGAAAACGACGGTACCTAGAGCCATCAAATTTTTAATAACATAGTCCTTCACTCGAACATGTGCACGAAGAAGCCGAGACTTTTTAATTTCGAAATTTTTTATTGTGTATTTCGTATCTTATAAAATTTCAATGAATTTTTGATTAACAAACTCGACGATTTGAAAGAAGCAGTGGCAACACTGCATGAAATAAAACATTTTTATCTTCAATACACGAGACTGTCTGTTGGAAATTCTAAAGAGATGCTATTTTTAAATGATTTGCGATTTTGCCGTTGAATGAATTTTATGTAAGTTTGAGGAACGTAATATTTAATAAATAAAGTTAACACAATACTTTAATCTTAAAACGATAAAAAATGTTCTGCAAGCCATCTTTTTATGAAAACTGAACATAGATATGAAATGAGAAAAGAGTGAAAAATTTATGCTAGCACTTTACTGTGTATAGGGAAGTATATGAAAACTGAACATAGTAGATATGAACAGTGTACATGAAAACTGAACATAGATATGAACTGAGAAAACAAGTGAAAAATTTATGCTAGCACTTTACAGTGTATAGGAAATTCTAAATATATGCTGCCATGCTTTTAACATTTTTGTAATTTTGCTGTTGAATTGTATATGGTATAAGGGCGAAGAAAACGACGCTTAATGATGATGCTTAATAATGACGCTTAATAATAAAAAGAAATGGGTTAAGAGGAGTCAGTGCTACAGCAGACTGGCAGACTGCGAGCTCAGCGAGAGCGAAGAAAACCTTAACAACTCCATTTTGGGGATCCTTAAAATCTGAAGCCTTTCAATTTTTTTGGTAGTCCTTATTAATATGCATTTCTTTATTTCTTTTTGCAACATTGCGACTAGTTCTGTGGAAGTTTGCGTGCAGTTTGGTCTAGCTCTCAACTGGTGCTATAATTCTTCCCAGAGATGTTCGACTATGTTTAAATTAGGGTCGTGAGCCAGCCAATTGAATTCATTTACTTCTCAAACCACCTGGTTAAATCTTTCGCTGTTATGAAAAGCTGAATCATCATGTTAAAAGTGATAAAACCAGTTCCAGTTGTTGTCACATGTGGAAAGCACAGAATTGTTCAATATAGCCTCATACTTAACATTCAAAGCATTTAGGTCTTGAGACATAAAACCCAATAGATTAAGACCCCTCAAACCAAGAAAAACATTTCCAACCATAATTCCTCCTCAGTCAAATTCCAGTCTGGGAAAAATGGGCTGGGAACCTCGATCACTGATAGTAGTACTGCACCACTGTCACTGATAGCAAATATTGAGTTTAGTGATCAATGGCTTGTTGCAGCTTACCTATCGAATCCAAGTTAAAAATCTTTGGTATGAGTACTAATGTCGTTTCCAGTTGCTATTCGGAAGTTTGTGTCCACTGTTTCAAAGCTTATCGATTTGACTTCTAGACACGTCAGAATCATCGACGGTCTCTATCTGTGAATTCTTTTAGCTCTTCTTTTGTTGCAGATGGGATTTTATAACTCTCACATTTGCACGTGATATGTGAAACTAGCCGGAATGAAACAACTAAATCAGTCGGGACTGGTAATCATGCCTCTTTCGGCCTAATTCAGCTCTAAGCATTTTTAACTGAGACGATGAGGGCTTCATTGTCTTTTTCAAGACATATACAGATGGTATCCACACATTTTTGTAAAGATTTTGCACAAAGCTTTATATGTAAACAAACCTCAGGATTTTTTTCTAATACGTTCAGTCTGAAAGGCCCTTTTGTTGAACTATCAAAAAATTCCTACAAATTAAATTCAATTCATAGGAACTTTGTGAAATAGTATACAAATTAGCTATATGACATAGTTTTGTAAACAAGTCCGCTTCCTTACCAAATCTTGGACCGAAAAACTTACCATTTTTACAAATGTGTAGCCATAATACAGAATGATTAAAATAAGCTTGAATATTCTAGTAAGTACTCGCCGTATATTCTTAAGTATGATGTACTAAATTATTATTATTTTTTAATATTTGCTGATAAACTTTTATATGCAAGTAAACATTTTTGCTGCCAATTAAATCTTCATTTGGATTCTGATCCTTTAATGATTGTTTGGTGTTACTGTAGGATAAAAATTGATCTCTCTTTGTTTCGTTCTTTCCGTCCAACAAATAGAAAAGCGGAAGAAATGCAGACGAACAAATATCTCATTTTAACAATCAGAGTGAAGACCATTCTTTGACTCAGGTAAAAGAGAAGAAGCAGATCAAGGTGTGTTTGACCCTGATCTATAAACAAAGGAACATTCAAGCCTAAAGACAAGCATCTCTTGAGAATTGGATGATGGATAACTGCCAACGGTGTATGAAGACTAAGGATTTGATGACGATCTGAGCTTTCGCCAAGAGGTAGTAAGGTGGATGAATGTTTTGCGTTTGAGTTGAATGGTAGCAGAAAGTAAAACGTTGAATTAAAATTGAATTGACATGTAATCAACGTTCGTTTGTTAGTTGCCACAATAGTTGTTATGCAAATTATCATGAGCTAGCAAAAAAATACCTAATCGAGCTTTAATTTTTGTACATAAAATTTGGGTTTTTGATTTAACGAATTTTATCTATTTATTTCGTGTTTTGTTAACCAATGTTCCTAAAAGCTAATTAAATACTTAGCTTAGTTAAACATATTCATTAGATTTTTTAGGGTAAATTCTGTATGCTTTTTCACCTCTTTTTCGAAAACAATATGTCTGGATTACAATTTCTTAACTAACAAACGAATCTAATTTTTAAACAGTAGAAATTAAATGAAATAATTCATCGAAATATGCAAAGAGAATTTATTAAGCTACAATCCTGTAAATGCGATTTTTTTTTTCTCCGATGAAAGACATCAAGGCACAGAAATGTAGCAATTAATCAACAACGTGCTGAAAAAGTGCTTAGCTTGTAGATTTCTTTCATCATTTCTTACAGGTACTGTTAATTATAAAAGTAGCTTTGTTACAGGCCATTCTAATTTTTCTTAATCTTCTTAAGAATTTAATAATTAATATGTTAATTAAATTAAGAATTAATAATCTTAATTTAATGAATTTAATTAACTTATCCTAATAAAATTATAAGATCTAGATTTCTGTTCTCTTCTTTCATTGAGGTAATATACATTAAGACTGGGCGGATGTTCTTCTGCAATTAGATTGACATCTTTACTTTCCTGATATTAAAACAGAGCATGCTGGAGACAGTTACAACTTTGTGTTTACTCCTAAAAGGCTGCACAATAATATTTATGAAATTAATTTTATTCTAGAAACCTGTAATCTAAAAAAAAAATATAATAAATATCAAATAAAAGCCTCAGATTACACCACGATCACAAAAAGCCGATTTTCAGAAGTTTGTTTAATTATGGCGAAACATGCACGTGTTATTTATATAAAGGAAGAGATGTCTTCGGGTCGCCTTTTTAAAGGAAAATATTATATATTTAGCCGCTCAGCCGGGATAGTGGTTAGTGACTCTGACTACCGTATCGAAAGGCCTGGTTCCTAATCCCTGAAAAGGGATAAATGTTTGTAAATGTACAGTGTCTGTGCGGCATGGGAGCACTCAAAATATGAGCCGAGCCAAAATTGCTCTCGAGAGGTCGATGGTAGGAATAGAGAGGTGGGAGAATTTTTGGTCCGTCCTCCTGGGGTGCTCTTCTTCAAAACTGGGGGAGGAATTAAACAAAGTCATACTGTCATCTGTATGGTTGCCAACGACAACAGCAATCTTGCACTCCTTGCCAGGATGAATTTTACAGATTGTTCTCATGTTACTGACAGACAAGGGAGATAAGTCACAACATGAATGAATGATGAATTTCGTGGGCTTGTTCTGATACCATACAAGCGAGATTAGTCACAATAACAACAGTGTATTCACGTTAGACATCGAGAAAAGGAGGAAACTTCCTATGAAGCTGTTTCTCTCATATCGATCCGATTTTGACAAGATAAGATTTTTAGAGTTATCACCTAATTCCTGATACCCATTCAATTCAGGGAAATTTAGAGTAGGTAACACATAACTTGTTTTGTAAGTAACTGAAATCTTCACTCGGATAAGCAGCGTCATTTTGTAATACTTTTAACATGACAAACCATCGCTTTAATGTAAGTTAAAATTTTCAGTCATAACTTACCAGGAGTAGCTTAGTAAATTCTGTTTGGCCTGTGTTTTGTGCTGACAATTAAGCAGTTGTTAAAGGCGGCAACATGCCAATAGGTTACGATAACTGTGTTAGCCATTAGTTTGACATACGTAATTAATTTTATAAGGTATTTTCTCTCTCCTTTCTGCATGCCTTCGTGGTGTAACGGTTAGCACACTCGGCGCGTATTCGAGAGGTCCAGGTTCGAGTCCTGGGGGAGGGCATTGCTCATTTTTCACGTCTCCTGCTTTAAAATAGCATAATGACTCTACAATTTCACGCCGCAGAAGTCGCCCTTATTTTAGCGAACTTAGCTCTCAGGAAAACATCCTTTAAGAAGATGATCTTCGCGTCTTTGTCATCTTCAGACAAAACAACAACAAAAAAAAAAAAAAAAAAGTCTGAAAGGTTTTAGATTTTAAATTGCGTCCATAGAGGCCTTTTTTTTTTTTTTTTTAATTTTTTTTTTTTTTTAAGTTTTGTGTGTTACCTTTATTTATTAAATATCATATTCTTCGCCCTTAAACCATAAAATTCAGTTCAACAACAATATCGCAAAATAATCTTAAAATGAGCATATCTTAAGAATTTCCGATACACAGGTCCGCGAGCTGGAGGTAAAAGGTTCCCGCCCTCCGTAGGGTGTTGCCATTGCTCGCTTTTAAATCGTTGAGTTTGTTAATCAAAAATTCATTAAGCTTTTACAAAATATGAAATAGATAATAAAACAAATTCCAAATTTGGGCTTCTAGATGCCCATATTCGGATGGAAACGTACGTTATTCGAAATTGGATGGCTCTAGGTACCGTTGTTTTATCACAGTGCGAGAAACATACATACATTGATGCAGATTCTTCATTATTTAATTTCTTTAAATATAATACGGGTAGATAATATTTGGTGGCAATAATTTGAAAGTGAATCGGACATTTATAGTGAACCAACGCAAAATGCCAAAACGAAAATAATAGTCCTTCCAGGGCAAATTGCCCCTTTGGACTAAAAATGTGCATGAGGATAATATATATGTGAAAGATAAAAGGTTAACTTTAATATCCAATATCCCCTTATCTTTGGAAGCAGGAATGTTCCAAAATAAAATTAAAAAATATGTATTTCTAGTTATTAAGTATCAATTTATTCCTTCTTACAAATCCGTGGATTTTGTGTCTTGATATGTTTTGTTTCCCATTTGCCCCAGAATGTTTCGTTCAAGACGTTCTAAACTCCTAGGATCGAAACAATTGACGCATGGGGGTATAGCAGCGCTCGTGCACTAAACGAGATTTTTTTCTTACAAACTTGCGCGGCAGTCAATGTGTTAAAGTGATAAGCATTATGTAAATGTGAAAATTAAGTTTTAGGACTTTACGTTCCTCAAGTAATTTTCATAAAGTTAAAATTTCTAAATTTCTTACTGAGCCGTATTTTGTACTATTTATAAGTGTGATATTGAATTCCACTGTCTCACTACGACTGGAAATGAGGAAACTAATTTTAAATGCTGCATTTTTGATCTGGAAAACTCTGCATATAAATACACTGCCAAAAAATCTTTACTGTTAGTGAATTCTTATACACCGATTATCAGTAAAATGACAGTATAAAAAATGACCGTAAAGCAGGCAACCGGTTATACCAATCTTCGAATCTGTTTTATTTTAGATAAATTCAAAAGTAAAAATCTTGATAAAAAGAAGTCAATTTATATTATTTATTAATTTCCTACTGTTTTAAGAATGTTTTTAAAATTCGAATTAAAGCCTGAGAGTTGCATTAACACATTAGGAATGGCACCGAGTTTACTTTTAGCCAAAAGGGCGTAAGCCCAGAAGGGTTATATTAATTTCGTTTTGGCATTTTTGAAAACTTTAAAAGACTGTATCACTTTTACTAAGTATGAAATCGATAATAAAACAAATTCCAAATTTCAAATTTGGTCTTCCGCACGTGCCTATTCGTAGGAGGATTACGTCATTCAAAATTTGATGTCTCTATGTAACGTTGTTCTATCACAATGCGAGAAATATACAGTTAGTCAATAAAGTCTGCGTACATCAAGAAAAGTAATATCAAATCCAAATTTTAAGGTGCGAAAAGGGTAGTTTCTTAAAGTTTTATTTTTTAAATATGTAGTTTCAATAAGGGACTTTGAAATTATTTAACTGTAATATTTTCATATTTAATAATTTATGCGCACTAATTTTTAAAAGATAAGTGGCCAGAAATCAAAGCCAATAAAGTTTGCGTACAACGCGAATTAGGCGGGGGATTTCTTATCTAACTTTTAAACTTCAAATTTGAGAATACAAAGAAGGTTACACTTTCAAGGTCATTGACCTCCGAAGCAAATTTCACATTCATTGGAAGGTTCTATTTCTATTTTCTTTGACGAAAATGACAACCAATAAAGAAATTCCTTTAGTTACGAGACAACTAATTATCAAATTGAGAGATGAAGGTAAAACTCTTCGTTATATTGGTAAAACCATTGGAAAACCATTTTCTAGTGTGCAAAGAGTTATTCAAAACTATCTTGACACTGGTAGTCTTGCTGTAAAACCAAGATGTGGGAGACCGAAGAAGCTAACGCAGAGAGAAGAAAGAAAAATTCTTTTACGAATTAAACAAAATCCTAAACTTTCTGCTGAAAGCATTGCAAAAGACATTTTTTTAACTATCAACAAGGAAATTTCTTCTGAAACTGTACGAAAAGTGCTGCGAAAGTCCGATTATCATGGACGCAAACCTAGGTCTATGCCATACATTTCCGAGACAAATATAAAGAAAAGAATTGCTTTTGCCAAAACATATTCAAACTCTTCGCAGGACTTCTGGAACAATGTAATTTGGTCAGATGAAAGTAAATTTACAATATTTAAAGTTAATGGCCACCCTATTGTATGGAGAAAACCAGGAACAGAACTGAATCTGAGAAATTTAAATCCAACTGTCAAACATGAAGTTGACGGTGTGATGGTATGGGGGTGTATGTCGTCGAAAGGGAGTTGGAAATTTTCACATTATTGATAAAGTCATGGATAAGTATGTTTATCTGGATATTCTGAAGAAAAATCTACGAGACAGTGCTAGAAATTTGAACCTTTCTAATACCTTTATTTCCAACAAGACAACGACCCGAAACATACAGCTAAAATTGTGAAGGAATATCTCCTCTATCACACTCCAAGACAGTTGCGTACTCCTCCA